TGATATAGTCATGCGTCACTTAATGATGGGAATACATTCTGAGAAATGTATCGTTAGGTGATTTCATTGTTGTGTGAACATCATAGAGCGCACTTACACAAACCTAGATGCAATAGTCTACTACACACCTAGGCTATATGGTATTAATCTTATGGGACCACACAAACCTAGATGCAATAGTCTACTACACACCTAGGCTATATGGTATTAATCTTATGGGACCACTGTCGTATATGCAGTCTGTCTTTCACTGAAACATTGTTATGCAGGGCGTGACTGTATTTCTGGTTCAGTAGGATTGGGCTGTGGCCCAGGCATCTGCCCTTTTCCAGAACTACTTATGCAGTTCTGATGCCCAGTCTTGGTGAAGAACCCCTGGCTCATGAGCAGGTGTAGTCACTGCCTCTTTCTTTCAACCCCCATTTCCCTTTAGTTCTTTGGCCTCTCAGTTGGCTCTATTTCAAACCCAAGTGGATGGATGGGATGGATGGTTGGGATGCAGATGACACCTGTCCACTCTTGGGACAGAAGGTGGACAAATTGACATAAGTTACAGGAAGGTAGATTTTGATTTAAAATAAGGACAGGGTGAAACTCTTTACCACAATTGAATTGACCAACAGCGGGAAGTCTGTTCTGTGGAGTAATGAATGTGTTTTCCATTTCAGGGAGCATTCAATGGCAGCAGCAGGTCCATCTCTCTGAGATGCTGCAGGGAGAGCCCTTCCCGGGGTGGGCTTGAACTGCCACTGCTCATCTCTGGTTGGGGGAAGAGGAAGTTACTCTAGTTCTTTTCTTCTTTTCAAACCCTGTTCCTATCCCGTATCATCCTTCCTTCTCTTTTCTATCCCATTTCATCTTCTGAATTCTTAATAGCACATGCCATGTCTGCCAAAGATGCTCACGACACTCAGGGTCCACCTGCTAAGCTTGGGCAATGCTGTTAACAAGCAATTTGTCTGGAGTCTGCTGACCATAGAGGCATCAAGCCTATTCTGCTGAAATTTTCTATGAAGTCACTTCTCCTCCCAGCAAGTGTGAGAATTCCTGTGTGGATGTTTGAGTGTGTGTGTGTGTGTGTGTGTGTGTGTGTGTGTGTGTTATGCCTGTGCCTGCACATGAGTGTGTGTTGTTGTAACTGGAGTTGCAGCTCGGAGTAACAGAAAAGCAGTTTGCTTACTGGGGTATGTGATAGAGGGGTAGCTGTGGCCTTGGTTCCCAGGGAGGACTCGTCCCCCCTCTTGTCTCTCACCTCCCTTTTCCTCTCCTCCATATCCCCCCAGCCCTAGGCTCACTCCTTCAGCTTAATTTCCCCAGTTGCAGCTGTGATTTCTTCTTCCTCCTCCCTCCTCCTCCCCCCTCCTCTCCCTCCCTCCTCCAAAACCCACACACATGGGTTTTGAGTTATGTGCCTCCTGTTCTAATGAGATAAACAACATAACTCTCACGGGGCTCTGCTCATCCCTCTATAAGTGGAACTCCAGGGCTGAATGCGTTGGCCCTATAAAGGCACCCTGGTGCCTGTCAGCCTAGGGAGGAGGGCAAGGAAGGGGGGCGGGAGCCCTGAGAGTGTCCTTGGGGCCATTTGCTTCTTGAGACGAGGGGGAGTCAAAGCAGACATCAAAGGGAGGCCTGTTTCCATTCTTGTGGCTAAAGGAGCAAAGAGCAGCATGGACATGCGGGGTGGGGGCGTTGTCACGCCACGTGGGCATAGAGTCCAGAATTGTCTAAGTCAGCTAACTCCTGATAATTAATAACTGGCATTTGTACAAGGCTTCCTGGTTATAGAGAGTTTCTTCTTGAATATAAGCGAATCCCCATGACAGTCCCTGTAAGGTAGGCATTATTAACACCCTTATCTCACAGATGAGGAGACAGGCTCTGAAATGTGTGATATTTCCAAGGTGACAGGAAATGTTGGTATGAGAACTCACGTGCCCTTCCTCTGCACCGTGGAGCTTCTCCAGTCCATCAGTCTCCTCTTCTGGACGTTCAAACTACGTACTAAAATGAACCCTCCCAGGAGAGTGGGCCTGCAGCTACAAGCTGAGTGACCTGAGGCTACCTTGGTGCCATTGACCAACAAGTGCAGTGACTGCAGTCTCAGGAAGGGCATAGGACCTGGACAAGTGTGGACAATTTTGACCTCTTGTCACTTAGACCTTTTGAGAGTGCTGGTCTGGACCGGTTCCTTCTCACTCACCTGCTTTTGGTCAGGTTGAAAATACCATGAAGCAGCCTGTAGGGCAAGAAGACGGCTAAGGCACAGAGATTGCCATGCTGAGGTGGTTCTTGGCTCAATTCTGGGCCCACCTTCTGGCGCCCCTCTTGGATGGTTTGGATGTGGGTGGGTGAGAACCCTGGAGCCAGGAACAGCAGAGCCAATGGTCATTCACTTCCTGCATTTCTGAGTCTGCTTTAGTTCTGGTGGAATTTATTTGATAAGTATTTCTTGATGTGCCTGCCAGGCACTGTGCTAAACATTGGCATATTCGAGATGAACATGATTCCTGCCATCCTGGATCTTATAAAATGAGTAGAGAAGACAGTCCAATAAGCAGACGAGTAATGACAACACCTTGGGGAAATACAGGGAACCTTGGGAACTTATAGAAAAAGCCATTAAACCAGTCTTGGTACATCAGAGAGACCATCCAGGCGGTAACTAGATGATGCTTAGACATCCTGAGGTTCTCTGTCAGATACTGCAACAATCTATCAAGTTCTTTAAAGAGTAGTTGCTCAATTCCCCCACCCACCTACATTCAGATTGGGTAGGTCTGGCATGGATTTTCGGCATTGGTGTTATTAAGAAGTTCTCCAGGTGATTTTTGGCTTCAGTCTTGGTTAAGTGTCGCTGACCCAAGATGAGTGGGGATTGTGGGACATGGAGCAGCAGGTCAGCCCTTGTACTTGGCTTTCTCTGGGATCCTGGGGAACACCAGCCTCAGAGGTGGCCCAAACATCTGGAAGGGACCCAGACTTAATGTACCCATTTAGCAGTTATAGGTCAGAGATGACACGGTCCTGAAGTGAACCACACCAGAAACATTGGACTATTCCCAGTGATGCATTCCCTCAAAGAGAGGTCAAAACTGGACCTCGCCAAGCAGAGAGAGCAATCTTACTTCTTTTTGTTTTATTTGATCTTCTGTAAATCAGCTACAACTCTGGTCCTTAGAACGCTGGGAGCTCCGAGCTTCAGGATCCTCCTACTGTGCAGACGCCCATGAACTTATCAACAAAATCAAGTATTTGGATGACTGTTGGACAAGATGAGCCCTTAGCTCATAATACCAGAGATTTTTTTCTCGAGCCTGTAGGCTCCCTCATACTCAATCGTTTCTAAGCATCAAAGTGGGAGAGGTTAGAACCTCCAACTTGTTCACAGCCTTGCAACCTGTGGGAGCAGCTGTGTGATTAAAAATGAAACTTAGCACATAAAAAATATTTGAAAATTTTCGTTCCTTTAATGCTGGAATAGTTGCCTCTGCATTGGACCCAAACCAATAAATGGGTAGAGATGACTAGTACATGAAAAATGAATGAATGGATGTATAGCAATGAACCTTTTGTAGATTTTCTCTGAAAAAGGCAAAAATGAAGCCAGTTTTCCTCCTAACTTTTAAAGGCCCCCAAATGGAAGACAGCAGATGGGAGGGAATAGGGTCCTGATGTTTTCTTAACCCTGTGGTACTCGGTCTAGGAAGTGCCCCTCTCACGGAGGCTGCCTGCATCTAATAGTTGTCACGTGCCACCTCCATCTACAGAAGACTGAGTTGTGATTTCAATTATAGTGAAGCTGGAACATATTCATTCATTTGTTCATTCATTCATTCATTCATTCAGCAAATGTTTCATTTGATTCTTCTAGATGTCAGGTGCAGTTCTGGTTCTTGGGATTCTGACAGGAACAAGACAAGGTCCCTGTCCTCACCAGGCTTTTCACTCGAGCAAGGGTGGGCTGGTTAGCCTCCTGGTTTATTTTGGGGTACATCAGGCAGGCTTTTTAGTCTGCAAATCGCCTAACCAGTCTTAAGCCCTTGTCCTCTCCCCTCAGCCTCCACCCCTGCCCTTTTCTCTGGCCATAGAACGTGGTCTAGTGTGAGGAGTCCACATTCCTCCGAGGCCTCTGGCTGCCATACTGTGGACCACAGGAGCCACAAGGTGTTGTCTGATGAGCAAGAGGGATCCTCACAGGGTGCTGGGCATGAGCGATGATACTGATATGGAACTTTGGTGTCAAAGGCCAAATCTAAAGGGAGACTCTTGTTGGGAGACAGTGTGGTACATAAGCCCAGCCCCTGGACTCCTGCCCATTTCTTTCTCTAAGGCCCAGCCAGGTGGGCAGGATATACAGGTAGGCTGGCTATGCAGGCCTGGAGCCTGGTCACCAGAGCAGGCTTACGTTCTGATGGAGGTTGCGCAGGGCTCCCTTTGGCTTCAATGAGCTGCCAGCAGCTAACAGTGGGTGGAGGAAGCCAGTTGGTAGGAGATCTGGCTCCTTGAACCTGTTTCCTTAAAATATTTCCCAATTCTAGGCTATCCATAGGTAGGCAGACTGACTTCTGCTGCTCCACCTTGAAGGAAACTTGCTTGACCTGGATGGAGAAGCTGTCGATGGGCAGTAGCTGGAGATGCACTGCCTTGGAAACACTGTGGTGAAGTTGAATCTGGAAAGGTCCCTCTGGTGGTCTGAAGGTCCCTCTGATTTTCTCCGCAGGCCAGGAGAGCAGAGCTGGTTTTGGTAACAGTGATGGCTCTTTTTGGCCTGGGCTCACTGAGACAGCATGATGGAGCAGACAGAGCAAGGGTCCTGGGGTCAGATGACCTAGATTCTGCCTCTGCTCTACTGTCTGCCAGCTGTGTGACCTTGACAAGTCACTTCACCTCTCTGGCCTTCAGTTTCCTGTCACTGTGAATGAGAGGGTTAGACAGGGTGGTTTCCTGGGTCCCTTCCAGCCTGGAACCTTTAACCTTTGCATTGTCTCTGTCCACAGGCCTCGCCCCAGGCCAGCTGTACACATATCCTGCTCGCTGCTGGCGGAAGAAGAGACGATTGCACCCGCCTGAGGATCCAAAGCTGCGGCTGCTGGAAATAAAACCCGGTCAGTGCTGGCTGGAGCTTGGCTGGGCCCGTGGTGGGAGAGGCGGGGAGTGCTGGGCTGGCCAGGACAAGGGTGCTTTGCTCCTTCGTCCAAAGAGCTGAGTTTTCAAGGAGAGGGCCTGCTCTCAAGCATCAGCATGTCCACACGTCCCCCTGAGCTTCTCTCCCCTCTGGGTGTCTTGTCCCTTCGCCTTCCTTTTGTCTCCCTCTTGCCACCCCAGGGGAGTAAAGCAAGCAGGTGCAGGGTGGGAACAGGCCCGGGAAGAATTACTTTCCCAGCAGAGCCGGAGGAACTGCAGCTCTTTTGTGTTGGGTGACACCTTCCTGTGGCCTCAAGTAAAGAAACCTGATCCCAGGTTGTGTGTTTCTAAGGAGAGCACACTGTGCACCCTCGCCCCTTACTCTGAAGGAACTCCTGGAGCATCTTACACACAAGGGCCAGTCCCTAAAAATAGAACCCATCTTGGATATGGAAATGGAAGAATTTGAGTTCAGAATTTGCCGCTAGGTGATGCTGATTGCTTTGTGGCCATGCAGAAAGAATTGCTTGGTTTTCTTGACTACTGATCTGTTACTATGCTTCTGACTAGCTGGCCATCTTCAGACCTGTGTCTGGATTGCAGCAAGGCAAAGTGATTGCCCTGGGTGCTTAGCTTTAAGGGAACCTTTGTTTCCGGGGGGTGCCAGAGCTGGGATGTGACTCAGGGTTGTGGGAACATTGCTGTCAAGTGGAGTAAATGCAGAGCTGAAGTGCTCCCTCCCACTGTCACCAAAGCAATGCAGACCTGGCCTCACTCCGGCCTTTCCACACTGACCCCTTAGGCTGTGTTTTCTCTGCAAAATCGCTACCTATAGTTGTTCAGGATGCTTTCACTCATAGTTGATGGTTAAGCCTGCTTCGATTATTTGCGTTAACCCCAATTTCACTTGTGTACAAGTTTTATTTGGGGTGGGAGGGGGCTAGATTCTTCAGTGCACTCCATCCTAGCTCCATGGCCTTGCACAATTTACAGACCCTTGCAGACTCTCCAGGGTAATGACTGAGGTTGTTCCCAACCCTCCGAGATGCAGGTTGTAGGAGAGCCAAGTCTCCCGGAGTGGCACAACCCAATAGAAATATAATGTAAGCTACATGTGGCATTTTACATTTTCTAGTAGCCACATTAAAAAAAGGAAAAAGAAACAGATGAAATTAATTTAATAATAGGGTCTATTTAATCCAAAATATCAAAAATATTATCATTTCAGCACATAATCAATATAAAAATTATGAATGAGATATTTTACTTTTTTTTGGCATTGTTTTTGAATTCCAGGGTGTATTTTATACTTCCAGCACATCTCATTTTGGACTAGCCACATTTCAAGTGCTCAGTTGCCACATATGACTAGTGGCATCCATACTGGTTAGTGTGGTCCTGACCAGAAGCACTGGGATCACCTGGGAGCTTGGTAGAGATGTGGAATCTTGGGCCTCACCCCAGACCTGCTGAGTCAGGATCTGCATTTTATCTGCATCCCCAGAATGCACACTGAAGTTTGAGAAACATTAGTCTCAAAGACTTATAGGTGGCTGGACCACAAGTCAGTGTGTCATGACTCCACATCATCTACGTTTCTTTATTAACATAAATAATTGTCGACATGAACAATGTATTTTGGAGCAGGGGGTCCCTCCTTCGTTGTTCCAGATCCGTTGGTCCTATCTCTTGGAAGTGGCATGGATGGATGATGAGGTAACCCCAGGTTTGATCCTTAACTGGACCAATTTAATTCTACCCCATTCAAAGCTTTATAAGTACTGTAGCGAGAGGGTAAGCACATGCTGGGTTGGCTGTGTGGACTTTGAGGGAGGGTACTATTCAGGTGTCCATCACTAGTTGGGTGTGTCTCCATGTTTGAGTACGTGAACCCTCTGGGTATGCTTCCCCCTCTCTATATAGGCCCAATGGGCCTTGGGATTTGATTCCTCGCTAGCCTTACAGGTTCATCATGAAGATCAAACGAGCCATGTGTAATAGTATTTGCTCTTTCTCACCCTTTTAATTAAAACAAATTTTCTTTTATTTGTTTAAGTAGGTAATACAGTCACATGTTTTGATATTCCAAAGATAAAAAGGATATATTATATGGTGAAAAATAAGACACAATCTCAAACGAGGCAATCAATGGTACCAGTTTTTTGAGATTCTTCAAGATAGTTTATACACACACCAGGAATGACATCTCTGTGACCTTCCCCTCCTCTTCTTGCACAGCACAGCCACCTTACTTTCTGCCCTTTCCATTTAAAAATATGACTCAGGCATTGGCCATGTCAATATATAAAGAATTTCCTCAGTCTTTTTTTATAACTACACAATATTCCGCTGCATGAAAGTACCACAGCTGATTTAACCAGGCTGTTCCCAATTGTTGTTTCTAATTTTGCCAATTTCACCAGTGAGGCAATGACTATTTTGCATGTATATGAGGACATGTCATCTGTAACTTGTTAATTTAAAGGCTTTTATTATACATACTTGACACTTATTTTAAATTGTTAGACTTTATTTTTTTAGGTCTTTATTCTTAACATTTATATGAAAAGTCTTTATTAAGAACACTTTATATCAGACTAATTGGATTGTCTTTTATAGAATCAAAGACATTTTGTGCTGTAAAATACCTCAGACATCATTAATCCAATTCCTTTATTTTATTGAGGTCCAGACAGGTTAGGAGACTTGCTCAAAGTCACGCAGCAATTCCCGTGGGAAACAGCAGAGAATCTAGTTGCTTGACTTCTCTGTTCAGTGCTTTTTCTGCTTCCTCATGCTGCTGATAAGTATACTTACAAAGAAATTTTAACAAGGTATTTTCCCTTAAAAACTTTATTTTATGATTATAAAACTAATAGACATTAATTATTAAAATGCACTGGAGATAGCTGGAATTCCTTCAGTCATAAATGTCAGACACTCAGATCAAACTAGCCTAAGCAAAAAAAGGGAAGTTAGTTCATGTAACAGTGAATCCAAGTTCACGTGGCTTCAGGCATAGCTGCATCCAGGGGCTCAAATGTTGTAGTGAGGGCTCTGTCATCTCTTTTCCCCTCATAGGGCAAGCAAGGTGGCCACCAGCAGCCCTAGACTCAGCACTCACCACGCTCAGCAGAAAGGCGGTTCCCTTCAATAGCTGTGGCAGAGAAGTCCCTGGAAGGACTGATGAGCTGGCTAGGTTTATGTCTGCCCCACCAATCACTGCTGCATAGGGGATGGGGCACTCTGATTGAATAATATTCATCATCATCATTACCCGTGTCTGAACAGCACACTGTAGTTTACAAAGCCCTTTATAAAGCATTTTCCTTTGTATCAGTTCCTTTGGTCTATACCATAGTCGTGGGAGGTAGAGAGGGAAGGAAGGGGTAAAAGTGTTATACGCCCCTTTTATAGGTCAGGGAAATCAGACTGTGGACAAAGCCAAGGAAAGTTTACTGCGCTGCTCACATATCTGAGAAGTGACAGTCTCTTTCTTGGTGGGACTGAGGCAAGAAGCTGCCTTACGAGTGTCCAGTCCTTCTGTCTACAGACATTTACTGTGGGCACGCTGGCCTCCCAGTGGCTGAATGTGGAGCAGCTGGGGTCACAGCTGGTTTTGGACTTGCCATCCTTGGCCCTGCAGTGGCATACAAGGGAAGGAAAGGAAGAACCCCAGGGCTGGTGGTTTGCTGTAGCCAAGTGCCCCCCAGCACGTGGTGTCTGTGATCATCGGAAAGGTTCCCTTGGGCTCTGCCCTCATGCTGGGGGCAGAGGCCGAGGTGGCTGTTCAGGTCTCAGGTGGTAAAGGCCCCACCTGAGATGGCCAGGGTCCTGTGGGAGGACCCTCTCTGGAAAGGTGAGTGCCAGCCTTGTTGAGGATGGGCCATCAGAGGCGTAGCCATATGCCAAGGTGGTGTAAGACCTCGACTAAACTGGGTTCACCCAAGGCAGGTTTGTTCCTCCAGGCCAGTACCCAGGCGCTGAGAAACAGTCAACAGCCAGGGGCTGGAATAAATGCCTATTCAAATGACAGAGCTCCTTTTCAGATAAACTTGTTCCCCCTCTTTGGGTAATGAGACCTACTACCAACCCTACTAAAAACAAAACCAAAACCCCAAAGCCTTGGGCCAAATGTTTGTCATTTCTGTATCCTGTTCTGAGTCTGTACCACCGGGGTGGCCCGGCTCTCAGAACGTACCACCACACAGCCTGTGACTGTAGGTTGTGAATAAAGATGCCCAGGAGTGCCAGAGAGTCAGTGATAAGGAGCCTCGGACCTCAGAGCATCGGGGCCCAGCGTGACCAAAGATAGGTACCACCTTCTTCCTAACGGCTGCACACGTTCACATTTGAATTTTTCACACAGGCCAAAATTTCAGAACAGGGCCTTCATCCAGGGCCTCAGCTGGCCCATATGGCACCTTTGTGCAAAAGTAGAAGAAGGCGCCCCCTGTGGGTGGACGTATACAAAATGATGCCCCTTCTGGTGGATTGTAGAGCGCCAGCTGGGTCTCAGCTCCCTTCTGTCCTCTTGGCAGGTGTCCCTGTGCAGGTGCCACCAGTACACCTTTCAGTGGCTCTGCCTTCACCATTTATAAAATGCTGAGAGGACCTTTCTCCTTTTTTGGAGTATGTCCTCGCTAAGTACAGGGTCAACTTGGACAATATTTTTAAATGACTGTCTCTTATTTTTAACCCATTTGATTTGGGTTCAAAGAGAACTGGGTTTTTTTGTTTGATACTTTTGAGTGTGACTCAGGGTAGAGTCATTGGTCAGAGTCCCTGGAGAACTTGCTGTAAATTCCTGGTAGGTGGGGTCAGTCAGCTGGGTGGACGGAGGCTCTCCTTCCCAGGGATAGAGGAGGAGCTGAAGGAAACAGATGGAGGGAGAGGCCAGGGATCTGCTCTCTTGTACACAGTGCAGTGGAATTGGGTGTAACCTTTTTGAAGGTCAGTGCATATCAGTATTTAAAAAGCA